AAAAAAAAAAAAAAAAAAATTTAAATTTCTTCCGTACGAGACTCGCCAATTCCGTACAGTGAATCGGTGAATCACTGTACAAAAATCATCCGATTCTCGATGCCCGTTTTTTTACCGATTTGAAACCGTCTATGGCGACTCCCGAGTCGAACCGAACAAGGAGGGGTTTTTTTAAACACTGGGTATAACGGATCAGATCGACCCTACCCATATTTTCTCTCTCTAACCCGCTTTCTTCACTTGGGTAATATGTCTCTCTAACATTTATCCAATGTTTCTCACTCATCTGCTTTCTTGATTTATGGATTCTCTCATCAGCTTTCTTCATTTGTGTAATATTTCTTTCCCCCATCATCTTCAAAAAACTTATTTCATTACTTAATCTCCCTCTCGCTCTCTCATTGCTTTCTAAATCTGCATTTATATTTCGATTTCTCTCTCATCTGCCGTCTAACTATTTTTTCGTAACTTAATCTCTCTCTCTAATATGCTGCTTTGATAATTTAATTTTTTTTTAAATTAATCATGAATATTGCGTTCTGATTATGTTTTTACTGAAGAATATGGACGTTTTTATATTTTTTAGTTGGGAATTGGTGTTCTTTTTCTCTCTTATTTAGAGGATTTTAGAGTTTAGGGTTTTATGTATGTTTTTCTTTATCTAGGGTATTTTAGAGTTCAGGGTTTTATGACTGTTTTTGTGGGTTATTGGTTTTATTTTTTCTGATATTTTTTACTGTAAAATACAGGTGAAAATATGAATAAAAGAATCAATTTGGGTTCAATGAATCTTTTACCAATTAAAAAGGAATAGTAAATTTACTGATCAATTTGGGTTCAATGCATTTTTTCTCATATTTAAGGAATTTGGATGTATTGAATCTGATAATTTGGTTTATTTAATTTGTATATTGGAAGGTTGCAAACATGTTTATTCAATTAAATTTCTTATATTTTGGTTCATAGTAAATACAGTGAATCTAAAGAGCATATAGAACCTTCTGTAACAATGAACAATACCTCATTTTCTTTTTTCATTTATTCCTGTCGTTTTGGATTGAGTTTTTACAGAGAGACGGAGGGAGTCTACTTCGATGCGAAGTTTCCTTGAAGAAATAGCGCGAACCTAAAATTTCGGGAAATTTCGTATCGGATCTTGCCCCTTTGACTTCTGGTATGGCATTCGGCTTTCTCACTGAAACGAAACCCCAAAACTCAATCAAATTGCTGAAATTTCGGTCCGCAGATTCGTCCCCGAATCACGTTCACACTTGTCGAAAGCATGTAAATCGACCTTGAAAAGCCAGTTACTTCCAAGCTCTCTTCCTGGTTAACAATGGCGACTGAAAATCCCGAAAATTTTCGGTTGAATTTCTTGAAAATGCTGCGGATTAGAAGAAGAAAAGAAGGTATTGTTTGGCCTAATTTCATAAAAAAATAGTTTGAGTTTGTTTTTTAAATGTTTGTTGGTTGAGATTATTGCTATAATTTATTGGATCAAGGCAATTTTCATGGTTTCATTGCCTCTCACTGTGGAGCTTTCTAAGCCAGTAACAAACCCTAGATATCAAGGGGTTCCTCCTCATGGAGATCAAGCGAGGTCATATTTAAGTAAATTGTTAGAAATTCAATAAATGATAACCAATAAATTGTTATATTTTGATTTTTGGGGGGTTTTTGTTGTTTTTTTTCCTTGTGTTACAGGCCATGGAGTCGTGCCCTAAAAGAGATGGATACGTGAAAATTGATTTCGCAGAGGAAAATCTCTATCTCTATACAGAGGCAAGCTCATGTTTATTAATTTATTTTATTATTATTTTTAATATTTATTATTCATTATTGTTCTGATTTATTTGACATGCCTCTGATCTCACTGGATCAAAGGGTTTTTCCCTTCTGTTTCTTCGAAACTGAACCAAGGGCAGAATGGTTAGTTCTAGCACCACCATTTGGGGCTTATCTTGGGCCATTTTGTGGGCATTTCTTCGTGGCATCGGTGAATCGAAGAAATGAGCCGATTGTAGGTGGTTTTGTAGTAGGAAATTATTTTGTTTGAGCTTTCCTTGAGATTGTACGAGGTAACTCTATATAACCCCAATCTCGTGAGTTTCCCTCTTGATAGTGAATACATCCTTGCCATCTTGCCCGTGGACGTAGCCCATTTTGGGTGAACCACGTATATGTGTGTGTCCCTCTCTACTTTCATTTGTGTTGTGCTTTTATGATTTTTTATATTGCTTGTTTTATTGTTTTTATATTTTTGCAATTATATTGTACTTGTTATTGCATATTGGGCATGTTATTTGAGTGTTGAAATCATTGTGGTGTAGTGCTCACCACATCTAGTGGGATTTGAGATATCCTGATTTGTTCAAAAGGAGTGATTGGGTTGTCCCGATTTTACAACATTAGGGACCCTATAGGATACTACACATAGTACAACAGTTGTGCACTAAATCTGATCTCCACCATCTCGTTTCAAAACTGATGGTAGAGATGGATGTAATTTCATATATGTGATTCACAATAAACAAACGATATAATAAGTGTATTATTGGACAATAAAGACGAGTCTCAAAATTTTGAGTTTGACAGTTTTTTGAACCTCAAGCTCGCCCTGAGACTTGGCAGTGCCCCTGGCGAGTAGGCTCAGTGTGTCCCTGGTCGACTCACTGAGTCTCCTCTTTGTAAAAATGTACTTTTTGAGGAATATTTGCTTGATTTGTGAGAGACTTAGATGCAAACAGACTCAGTTTAGACTTGAGCAGAACTTTGACCAGACTAGGATGATCTAAGGCTGGCTCATCCGGAAACAGTACACTGGTTAAAAAAATTTAAGTGGTTTATGCAACAAGTGGGATAAGTGATACAACTTGGTTTTTGATGTTAAAGAACTTGATGTGACTTTCTTTCTCATGTCAAAGAAAAAACTCATCCCTTTGTAAGAGCCAACTTGACCTAGGCAAGCTGAATTAGTAGTTAAAGCTTTATGTTTCACATAATGGAACAAATTAGCGGGTACAGATCAGAGGTGTTGGATTCAACACATCGTGTTTCTGAAATTGCGAGATTATTAAAGGTTAGATACAGTTTCCTAAAGATTTTCAAAAAGATGTTTGACCAAGTATCTTAGTATTTTGAGTGTTTCTTGTGTTTGTCATGGGTTTGTACCAAAGTACCATCATATGATTATGGAGAAGGGGAGAATATGCATCTTAGATGGAATCATGGAAATGTTTTGATCTTATTATCGATAAAATGTCATTTCAAGATGTGTTACGTTCGAGAAAGCTTTATTGTGTTGGTCTGGTGATGACAATGCATTACTAGGGAGTCCAAATAAAATTTTACCATTGAAATCAACAGTTTGACATATCCATGAAAGGCTGAGGTTTTTTTTATGTGGATTAGAGGGAACTTATGCAATGAAGTGAAACTCTGTGCTGCATCATGGATGCACGCATGCAAGTGGCAAAGTGAGTATGGTTTTCAAACTTCACCAATCCCACGAGACATGAATAGAAGCTTGATGAGAGATAGTGAGTTGCACTGATTTGGGGAACCTTTGTCAAAACCAAAATATGTCAATGTGGGTGTTCTGGAACTTGACTATGGGCTGTCAAATCAATGTGGGAAAAATTTCATTTGGTTTGCATTTACCCATTGTGAAATGGGAAAGAACAACACTATATATCATGAGGAATGTATCTCACTTTAGAGTAGTATTACCACCGGGAGCCCATGTAGAACAGAAGTGATGAATTCTATTTCTGAGGGCATTGTCGTTGTGGGGAATGTGAATTGCATGTATGCAAATATCATATATAGGGTGTGGGGCTTAAGTGACTCATTGCATAGCGGATGCTACACCCCACCACCAATTTTTTATGTTCACAAATTTTCTCTCATGTTTGCTGCATGATTTTACAGGAGTTACAGAGCTATGCTTTATTGCCATTTATTAAGACGTCCCCACTTAGGCCTGGGGTTTATATATTTTGAAGGAGTTTCTTTCTCTTAAAAGAGTTTTACAATTTCACTTGCTAATTTCATTGTATAGTAATGAAAGTTGTATTTGGGCATGGTACAAAGTTCACATGACAATCTTGGTGGAGACCTTTTCTTATTATTAAACATTGAATGTACAACTAATGTAGTATTTAATCACTTTTCAAGTGATCCAGTACTTTATTTAAATAACTGAATCAGTATGTAGCCTTTTTTTTCACTCTTTTTTCCTATTCTTGTCTTGGTTAGGCGAAGCTTGCAATTTGATATTGAAATCTTGGGATTGATATCAGTTGGTTTCTCTTGTTTTATACTGATCCATGTTCATTGAGTTTGTCCTTTTTTAAACAGGAAGGTGAGCAAGGACGCTTGCCAGTGTTGATTCTCAGCCTGAGGGAGAGAAATCAATATAGAAGACCTGCAGTTGTAAGTTTGCATAGCTCGTATAAATGTAAGGAATGGATACGGCCATTACTTGAGGTGACAACATTAATGAGATAAAATTTGATTTTACGTTAATTAGCATTTTCATGATACTGATTCTCTTTTGTGTTTCCTTCACAGGGATATGTAGCAGTTTCGGTCGATTCCCGCTATCATGGTGAACGAGCGAATAGTGTGACAGCTTATCGAGATGTACCTAATATTTTGCATCACTCCATCTTAAAATTTAAATAAACTAAAAAGGGAATGCTACTGATGCTACTATTTTCCAGTATGGTCTCATTCTGAAAATGGGCACCCATTTGTGAAACAATTAAGAAAGGTTATGTGGAGAATATACTATAATCCATTGCTGCATTATGTAGAAATCATAGTCTATTAAGTCATCACAATCCAATGAAATGATTGAAAGTGATGGAGAGAGGGTGAGAACCCACCATTGGGACCATGCCTTCGTCTGGTGGTCCCAACTTTCTCTCTGCATTGAATGGTGACGACCCAGGGGACAATGTATTTTCAATGCACAGTGGATTTTAGGATGTTTTCCTGTAGTGTTTTGGAGCAAGGACTAGGGTTTTGGGATTTGCTGGGGTCCCAAGCCTGAGTCAGGCAACTCAACTCAGCCACTCCTGTCAAAGGCGAGGACTGAGTCTTAAAAGCAATAACCCCAAAACCTTGGGATCTGGCAAGACTTGGCTAATATACCCAAGGTTTTTCTTCCGGGCTCGACAGCCTGCTCAGTCCGAGTAACCCAGGCTAGTCTAAGTCAACTCGGTGAGTTTTGGAATGCTGTTTTCTGTAGTTGTGTGTATCTAATAAACTAGTGATCTGGGGAGGACTTAGAAATTCTTCATTCTGGGTGTACAGGCGCTCGTGTCAGCATTGAAGAATGGTGATACAATGCCTTTCATTTATGAGACGGAATTCCTCCTCTTTTCATGTTATGCCTAGGATATTGCAGCAGCTCGTTTTGTATTTTATGCAATTGCTTAAATATATATCATGGTTAGAGAACTTAGGACTTGAGCTCAGCTTGGACCTACCTATCAGTCCATTAACCTCGTGACCCAACTGTGCGTGACCTATGCGGTGTATGTATGTGAGTATATATACACGGAGAGGGAGATAACAATTGAATTAGTAGTTGACCTATTTCATATAAGAGTTTATAGGTCGCTTCTAAAATAAGTGGAGCCAAGGTCCATTGTAGAGCTACAATTCTTTTGTCAAAGCAGACTATCCTTTAGTATTCAGATATGCTATATATCATATTGTACAGAGGAAAAGTAATATATTAGGGGACTCCTTACTGTAACAATGATTTTTTGTGAGAACTAAATGTAGATATGAGCAATGATATTGCCACCTTACGTTTTAGTTTAGAACAGCAAGAAAACAAAATGCAGTTAGCAAAATCATGAGTGGAAAAAGCAATCACATCCCACTCTACAATTCAAAATTTTAAATACGCTACAATTGACACATTATGGTAGTTAATGACTCAGTACTCTGAAGATATAGAAAGTAATAGAGCAATCAAGAGGCATTAATTTAGGAAAAGAATATTACACATCCCATAGGAGAAAACATGAGTATTAATAGGCCTAGAAAGTGACCGGGTTCACAAGCTCACATGGTGGTTCTTGTCAACCTGGTCAAGTTCCTGGTTGACCCAGAAAGTTTTTAAACCATGAATGTTTAGTGGGCACTTATATGTTATTTAGATTGTTGTGCATGTTAAACATATCATCGGTACGTATCCATGCCTCAATTGTGTGATGGTGGGTTAATTCTTATGGTTGCGATCAATTGCACCCTTTATCAATATCATCTTCTGTATTTCAATTTGATTCCTTTAATGTCTTGTGTATACAAAAGGGATACATTTGGCAACTGCAAATTTGCATTATGTGACAGGTGTGGGACTTGATAAAATTGACTGATTATCTTACTGAGAGAAAAGATGTTGATCCTTCTAGAATAGGGATAACTGGTGAATCACTAGGAGGTATAGTAATTTTCTTGTATACTTAAATCAATCTAAAAAATCATCATGTCTTTCTTCAGTCTAAGGGTATAACATGAATGGCTTAAAATCTGATTCATTGGGCTTGTATCTGCCAGTTTTCTGGTTTCTAAGCCGATCTCAAATAACTGGGAAAAGGCTTGGATGTGATGATGATCAGTTTTCTAGGTTCTGAGGACTGGTGGTTTTGGCTTTTTAAGGAACAATTCTAACATGAATTGGAAAAAGTCAGTGGCCCATTTGATTTCAGAAAAGCATGGTATGGTGGGCTATGAAAAACCGTAGTCCAGTGGGGTTGTCACTGCCATGTGAAATGGCAACCGGTGATGGGGAGAAGTGTGACCCATTTTAAATCACACTTAATCAGGTCATCAATGTCTGATCAAATGGGCGGTGATGGCGAGAGAGTAGGACCCACCATTGGGGTCATGTCCTGTTCTTGTAGGTCTCACTCTATCTTCATCACCTCCATCATTTTAGTGGATGGTAAGGACCCAAATCGACGATGATTTTTCATTGTCCATTTCCTTGTTGAATATTTACAATTCATATTTTTTTATTTTTCTTTTTTCTTTGCAGGCATGCATGCATGGGTTGCAGCTGCCGCAGATACTCGTTATGCAGTAGGTGTCCCCATAATTGGTGTACAGGTGGAACATGGAATCTTTCTGGAGTTTTTGACATTCATTTTAGTAAAAGTATAGTGCAATCCAATGAACCTTAGAAGACCATAATTCGTTGGAGTCATCACCATAAAATGATGGATGGTGATGGAGAGTGGAGTGGGGCCCGTCAGAATGGGACATGACCATGATGTTACCCCAGTGGCTGGTTTCTATAGCCCATTAAGTTATAGTAGTCTTTGTCTTATTGAGTGCTTTATATGTTTTCAATCTGAAAATGCTTTAATATGTGCTATCGAAGTTAAACTTCCAATCCTATGTGTGGATTTCGATGGGCCGTAGAAAATGGTAGATGGCATGCTCGAGTGGAAAGTATAAAAGCTGTATTTAAAGGTGAAATCAGTTCTTGGGCAGCTTGGTGTTGGCTGGATGGCACATCACATATGCATCGTAAACGGATAGCACCAAATCATCCTGATTTATGGAACTTGCCACGCTTCATGTTTTATGGGTGGAAACGACTAACTTACATGATTTAGTCGATGTGGTTTCTTTATCATTTGTTTCATGAAATATGGGATACAATGTATAGGGTTTCATCTATCTTCCTTTTCTTTCAGAAATTGATAGAATTCACTAAAAAAAAGTCTGGACTATCTTAAGTTACCAAAGATAACAGAAAGTTCTAGTTGGAAGCACCCCATAAGTGACCACCCTCTCACATTTGCAGAAGCAAATGAGCATTTGTTTATGCAAAATGTCAGTTCTTTTTCTTATTATCTAATAATTTCAGTCTCTTCCTTTTGGGTACAATGTTGATCTAACTGCTACATAATTCTGTTAGAAACTCAAAGTGAAAAATTGAACATAGATGATTGTGCTTGCTTGAGAGATGGTTTTCTTGCTTATGCATATAAATGTCATAAATTGTGAAGCATGCATATTTTAAGTACAAGGAAACAAGAAAAATCCATTTCTTTGTTTATGATGAAGAGGGATCATTATTCTTTTGTGCTTCTTTTCTTACTTGTCCTAATGGTTGCAGAAGCACGGACGGATCTATATAAAAGTGAGATTGATAGCGAAATAGTGGAGAAGGTTTGCTTAGCTTTATGATTTTCTTTTCAACATGGTAAGTGACTATAGATTATATTTTTCATTTTACATGAAAGGCCTCCAATGGCTAGAACTGCATAATTGATCTGCAAGCACACAAAAAGCAGATGCTCTTCCCACCCAAACTCTCTCTCTCTCTCTCTCTCTCTCTCTCTCTCTCTCTCTCTCTTGCATGCTCTACTCATCAAGCTCATGAATAAGCTTGTGGATAGAGTGCATTGGTCATGTATTTTCAATTTACCGTGTTTTACATTTCCTTGGGACTGGGAATACTTAATGCTGGGAATGATAGGCTGTTTTCATTATCATGTTTGACAAAAGTTGTTGTAGAAAGTGCACTGATCTTTTCACAATATTACCTTCTTTTAGGAAATGTCCTTTATGCAGTCATTATCATTCTTGATGAAACTTATCTCTTTCAGAACTTTCTCTTGACATAATAAAGGCTTAGATTTGGTTCATTTAATTGGCCAGTTTAGATTCAGTCGGTTACAATTCTGTTCTGCATTAACACTCATTTCATATTTAGATCGCTCAATACCCCAGTCTATTAATTATTCGAGGGATCATTTGCCTTTTCCTTCTTTATTATATGACTTGATGCTAATTTAAATGTCATATGCTCTTGTTATTTTCTGATCTTGCCTTAAAGAACATAAACTCTGAGTTTTGATCTTGACATTGATAGCCATCTTGTCTCCTCACCTCTGAAACAGGTTTGGGATCAGATTGCCCCAGGTGTAGCGCACGAGTTTGATGCACCTCATTCAATTCTAGCAATTACACCACGCCCTCTCTTGATTCTAAATGGTATGCCCTGAAAATAGCTATGGGAACTTACTGATTTGAAGCTTACAGAGTATCCTTCTTTGGTTAAGTATGGGAGCAAATGTTTCTTTTTTTGTTGAAGATTGTCAGATAAAATGATCCATATGGTCGTAGTAGCAATAGTGATATAAGGTTTATCACCGTCTAATCAATGGTTGGACAGTGATGGAGAGATAATGAGTCTGTAAAATTCAAAATTCAAATTGTATGATGGTGCCCATGCCTGCCAACACTGTCCAAGCCATTGATGGGACTGTGATAACCTTTAGATCATGAAGTTTCATGACTATGTGGATCATATTGTGGAGGCCCTTAAATTTATGAGTTCTATGATTCTGCTTTTCCTGTGAAGAGGGTGATGCAGTTGTGGGAATTACTGTGATTCTTCTTATGTGGCCCACCGATTTTTATCTAGTTGTGATACCTCCAGGGACTGCCCAAATTTTTATCTCAAGGATTTTATTTTCATCCCACTTGGATGAGATTTTAAATAATTTTAGCCTCGATACATCAGGCGAGTTAACTTGTACTCGCTTGACTTGACCTGACTTGGCAATATATTGAGTTGTAAATGATGAAGCTTAAGTTATGCCACTCTGATACCAAATTTAAAGTTGCTTTAGACATAAGTTCCCATATAGCAGTAGCTAAATCATTTGTTGCTAATAATTATACTTTCCATGATATTTTTAGGCGAAGAAGACCCTCGATGTCCTGTTGAAGGTTTGCAAAGTGCAATGGAAAGAGTGGTTGAGGCATATTATCTGGCCAAATCTCCTGGGAATTTCAAGGTTCGAAATTATCTTACTTCATATGCTCTATTTTCAAACGTGCCAATGTGCTGGAAGTTGGAACTGTGAGCTTTTTATGTCTCCTGAATTACATTTTAATGGTTAGTGCTGATTCAATACAATTGCAATCTTTCTTGTTACAGGAACTTAGTTTCTATGGAAAATCTTTTGTTACTTGGAGTTTTCTTGTGCTATTAGGAATGATATGCTCCGCATTGCATCGAAAATTAAAACTTATGAAGATTTGATAGTTGACCAAATTATTTAGACTTAGTTGGGTTAACCATGTGCAGCGTAAATCCAATACAACACCGGTTAGGAGGTTCAGATTTGATTCAAGTGGAAGGCTCTAAAAGGGCAAGTTGAAGGCTCAAAAAGATATTGATAGAAGTAGTGAGAAAATATATGAACATTTATAGTCTTAGTGAGGGTATGACCCTTGATAGATTTGAATGGCGGATTTGAGCTCTGACTTGAATAAGCAATTTATATGAAAATTTTAAAAGCAAAAACAATTTAAAAATTATAAAAAAAGCAGGAGACTCGGGTGACTATGGGGTTTTCATCTTGGAATGGCCTGGCTCCATCGGGGCCAAGGGGTTTTCATCCTAGAATGGCCTGGCTCGGAGCCGACTTCGCAGCCTCGAAATCTTTCAAACACTAAGAAAACTGAATCTCCATAGAGCCTAGAAGGGTGTGCAACATCTTTGTTCATAAGAAAATAATAAAAACCTGGTGGCATGTATTTTGACCATCAAGTTTCACATTATAGTATGTTTAGTAATCTCATAAAGGTCTGCCCAGCGGCTCATTTTTTTATACCAGTTTGCTCTTCCCATCCAACTGATAGAGGTCTTTCTCTCTCAATAGATCTCGACCTAAGATGATATATATATATATATATATATATATATATATAT